TTAAAGTACATTATAAACATAAAAAATCTACTGCTGAACTGCTTGCTCCATAATTTGGTCATCAGGGACTGCGAACGGTCTTTGACTGGTATCAGATATATCCTGATCCTTACTCCAAGTGTTTGATTGAACTTTTCTACCATCTGGGTGTCTAAACATACAATTTTTATTCTTGCATTCTGTCCCAAAGCGACAATCTTCATTAATAGGATGAGAGAAAAAGCAATCAATCCTTGTACATTCTGCTCCTTCACGGCAAGGCACAAGAGAAGTAGCATGTCTTCTTGGACATTTGAAGTTAGTACAAGCCGGACCAAATTTGCATTGTTCCAAGGTGTGCTCAACCTTTGGAGGACCCTTAGGTTCTGGTGGTGGCGCTTGGTAGTTCGGTGAAGGATGGGCTTTTGTGCAACTTGGATCTTGACAATTTTTACCAGCTGGACACCACTGTAGAATTAAAACCTTAGCTTCCTTGTTAGCAGGTGTCGGGTGTCCGAATGGACAAAGCTCTTTTGAGCACAAAATTCCATATTTACAGATACCAAGAGTGCCTGTAGATTCAACTTTCTTTCTTTCTCTATACTCTTGCTTCGTTTTTTCCAAGTTTGCCATCAATTCTTGATCTTCATCCGGATGCAAATAGTTGCAAGTTCCCGGAGGGTTAGTGCAGTTGGGATATGCAAAACATACTCTCGTTGGATGTGCCAATTGACAGTCTTTATTTTTACAGTATGGAAAATCAGGACAGCGACCTTTCGATGGCTTCTGAACAAAAGGCTTCACATTGGTATTACCCCCGTTGTTTAAGGCCATAATGTTTTCAAAGTTTTGAGGATTTTTCACAGCGAACGATTTTTTAGGCCCATTTTTGAAATTCTTCCCAATACCACCTCGATTACTAAACTTCTGATTTCTTTGTCCCCGAGGCCCAGTGGGAATATTAGTCGGATACATGCTAACATCATTTTGTTCCTCAGTTTGATCTTTTGGCTGCAGATCGGATGTTTGGCTCATTTGAGGAGGCTCGTGTGGTGGCACTGAATAAGCTTGGTAGCTCTGTTGATCCTTCGCAGGCATTTGGTTTTCTTGATTAGCCAGATTAGCTACTTCAATCAACCTTCCTATTTCCTGGTAAATACTAGTCACAAAGTTATTATCTATTGGGATATCTGCTATATCTTTCACTTCATTCACTATATCATCGGCCGTTTTATTGCTTACAATCAAAACTATTATATATTCAGCAACATCTTCTGCATCTTCTCCAATATTAAACTTGTTCCTCAATTCAACAATCAAGTTCTTTTTAAGCTCTATCCCTATAGGACTTTCAGGATCAAAAGTTTGAGACATATCAGACACGATGTATTTTTTGCTACACTCTATTTGTTGATAGTATATAATTAAAAACTTTCTCTTTGGGAAGACCAGTTTGCCACAAGTAGTGCATGTCACAACACGCACGTGACTATTATTACCCCATACCAAAGAATCGCTAGGATAGTTGGAAAACATCTTCCGAGACATCACCAAAAAGCTTTTGTATCAACTGCGTTATCTTTTCAAGTTCATACGAAATCGTAGTAGAAACAAGAATGTAAGAGTACAACAACACATAATCTTCATTCGTCAAGATAATGTCAGTAGAATGAAGGGACCTTATATCATTGAGCTTCACTAGCATACGATCTCTTGCATGCAGGGTCGATACGGGTTTTCCTGGAAGTGGGAAATTTAATCTCATGGCACTTGCAATCAGGTAGAAGATTAAAAAGATTCTATGCTCGAGCTCCTCTCTCTCGGCTGCGAGGTACTCAAGGACATATTGTTCATTTTTGCTAATGAGGGGGTCTACTTTAATCATCAAATTCATGTTTTGAAAGGCATCTAACACATTGGATGTTGACAGAATTAATTTTTCGTAGATTTTCTTTGGAAATGATCCCTTTAATCGAAGCTCGAGAGGTGCTTGCTTTAACAAAACTAAACATTCGGACAATAATGTGTCCGCTCCGGTTTGTTCTTTTAAACCTACTAATAAGTGTGACAGATGATCGTATTCTAATGGATCACTGTTCCATATCACCCCCAATCGTAGCCACAAAACAGTTAAGGCATTTTTCAAACGCACTCTAGCACTATTGGGTAAGAAACAGGAAGCCATTATTAAAGCCCATATTATACCGACTGAAACAGATATGAACCGATGAAATGCTATTTCCCCAATGACGGGATTGTCACCACCCTCTTGCCCATCCTCGGAATCTTGTTGAGTCATACTGTATGAATATAAGGCAGTTAGGTTGTAAGTCAACAATATAAATCTCCCAAAGGCATTATTCTGTTTCCAAAAAAGAATAATATAAAACGAAAATGATGAGATAAAGAGGCCGGTCAACGCTAACGCAATGCCATTCCCACCCGTTAAAACCCAAATCACAACTGCGGTACAAGCACCAAAAGTTGTACCAATTATTCTCCACTTAACAGTCATTGAGGTACCCCCAACGGACTTATTCATCATAAAACAGTAGATTGCTAAAGACCACTCTCCTCTATAATGATTGAAAGTCGGTTTAGTTCTGGGATAAAAAGCAAAGAAGGATAGAAATAACGCACCTAAACCAACTCTCATACCAACCTTCACATTAGTAGTCTTGAAAAGTCTCAATAACCTCCATAATTTAAGCGAGAAGCTCTGTTTATCACTTTTTTGTGAATGTAGGTGGCTTTGTAGATCGGCCAAGGCTTCTTCAAAAGTACCACCTGTTTTCAAATCTTCGCTCGATTTCTGTCTCCAGCAATTTATAATCCAGCTCCAATCTCTTTTGTCAGATTTAGAAAGTTCGTACTGCTCGGTCAATTTTAATGCTACCATCAATTTCTGAGCAAATAATTTCAATATTGATGAAAAATTACCACAACAGGCAGTCACCTCCTCCTGGCTTGCTTTAAAAGTAGCATTTGAAGTCTTAAAAATGTCTTGAGAGTATAAATCTTCGAATGATGAAATCTGCTTTCGATCAAAGAGGTCGACGGCATCTTGCAACGAATTTTGTAAGCTAGTTGTTTGAATGAATGAACCAATGGAAGCTCTACTTGATGATGGTACTTCACACAAGATCCCTTTTATAGTGAAGATAAATGATCTTATTGGTGGTGCTAAATATTGAACAAATAAATTGAAGAGTTGTTCGGGATCGTAAGCTTGGTCTTCATATATCTTGGGAATTTCAATATTAGCCATATTTTCGACAGACTCGGTTAGCCTAATATCAGAAGCGTATGTGCTTAAACTTGTGAAAGATGAAGTATCGTCACTTATATTATGCAACAATCTTCCCTCCATATCTAAGGAACTCTTTAGAGCCCTTAGATGTTGAGAAAGAGAAACAGCTATGTTGACTAACCCTTGGAGAATAAGCCATTCATTCTCTTTACCTCTTAATATGAGTTCGTATCTCGCTTCCTCTAAGTCTGTTTTTATTTTTTTCACATGTTTGTCTAGTAAGTTAAAATGTTCGGTATCGCTCGTGGTGAGTTTATCGCCAGCCAAAAATCTTGTTGCAACAAGAGATAAGACTGAAGACATAACGGCAAAGGAGGATTTCAAGGATATCTTGAGCTCTTCAGTTGCACTTACTGGCCATAAAAGGTAACAAACAGCCACAGATATCATACAACCAGTAACAATGATCAATAAAGTCGATTGTAGTCGTTCTATAGGAACATCTGATGAATTGTTACTGCCTTCCTTAACGATACAGCCAACAACTGAGATTGACGCTAATGAACATGCTGTATTGAAAGTTTGCTTTCCCACTCTCTGCTTCATATAAGCTATGATTCCCAAGCAAAATGAACTCACGAACAAATCAATCGTATAACTCACTTCGTCCAAGCCTCTGTTAAAGAAATAAGACGATACAGAACGACAGCCGAAACAAACACTAAAAGAGAATATGAAAGATACCACAACAAATCCAAGTGTTTGATGCATCGATCCTTTGGATCTTGCTGGATGGAAATACACCGCGACAGTAGCAACAACATGCTTAAAATCAGATTTACCTAAAAAATTGTTGAATGGTGTACAATAAACACCTAAAGATGCGATAAGATATGCTATTGAGCACTTCGCTATACAACGAAATGTTTCATCATAATACATTTTTGTGGCCCGGTGCCATGCTAAAACTATTACCAGCAGACTTGGTTCATTCTGAGACTCATCTAAGTTCGGACTACTGCTGGATGTAAGGGAAATTGTTCGGTGTACTCTTTCACCTGTATTAGCAATTATTACTGAACTCTTTCTATTAAATTTTCTTACTCTTCTGTTGAAGTTAGAATCTAACATAGGATTTAGTGGAGACAACTCATCGTCTTGATCAGTTAAATCTTCGTCTCGTATAACAGCGCTATCATCATAGTTGAGTGGATTATATGTATGTACGGAGCCGTTGTTTGATTCTACCAGACCATATTCTGATAAAGCCATTGGCTTTAAGTTGTATATATTCGCTCGTTGTATTTTCAAGTTCAGTTAGTTTATCCGCATTTCGAACAAAATTAAATTGCACGCTACTTAAACGGTGCGGCTTCTTATCAAAAACACAGAAGTTAAATAATTATAATATATTAGCGATAAAGGTTTTTCATTCCAATATCAAGATCTACTTAATTAAAAAATATAGAAACACAGAGCATTATTCGTAAATAAATTAGTTTTTTAAAAATGTAGTCTAGCAGAAACCTCCACCAACGATCTACCAGAATAGAAAAATGCATAATAGAAATAAAACTGTTCTAACAAACGTTATATCATTTATCGTCAAAGCCAACGATTTCTTCGAACAACTTTTCACAGGGGACAGTAGCATTAAGTCTAGCACAAAGTAAAAATACACCACTTAGCTTTCTATGCAAGGAATAAGTTTCCTCAGGCGGAGGTGTTAATCTCTCACTCAACATGACTCCAATATTATCTCTGACCCTGTCTGTTACTGTCTGTTGCTTGAAATCAAATGGCTTTCCCTTATTGTCAACGGGTGAAAAAGCTTCGCCCAAAACCATTACTGAATCAACATGGGCTTTGACCATGTGTGGAGACTCTAACCCAGTCAAGTAACCCAACTTTTTCGAGTAATGCTCAACTGAATCACGATCCTTTTTAACCGCAGCCCTTAAAACGTTCACATAATCTTCGACAAACGCATCGCTGAAGTCGCGTGCAGCACCAAAATCCAATAATTCGATCTTACCAGTTGATTCGTTATATAAGAAGTTCGCCCAATTAGGATCTGTTTGCATGAATTTGAATTTCTTGATCTCCAATAAACAGAGCCTCATGATGTTGGTAGCGATCCAGTCCTTTGTCTTTTGATCCCAATTACCTTTCACGATTTCAATACCTCTCATCCTCTCCATTGTTAAAACATGTTCACCACACAAACGGTGAAAAACTCTAGGTACTTCAAAAACGTCATCGTCCTTCAAAATATCACGAAACCGGATAAGATTCTGGGCCTCCCTTATATAGTCACATTCCCATTTTAGTTCTGTTCTTGCATTTGCAATTGTCTTGTCCAAAAATAATCCAGCAGGTAAAATAGATGACGCCGTTAACAACATCAATAAATTATTCAAATCAGAATCAATACTTGTTGCCACACCAGGATACTGTACCTTCACAACAACAGGAGTTAAATCTTCGGTAACAGCATTATGAACTTGACCGATTGAAGCGGCTGCTACAGGGACATCTTCAAACGATGTGAATAAACGTTCCCTCCAATTAATTCCCAAATCATTAACCATCACTCTTTCTAATTGGCCGGGTGGCATGTAATGTGCAGAATTCTGTACTCTTAATAAAACCTGACGAATCTCAGTTGGTAAAATAGAAGAATCTTGAAAGGACATCATTTGACCAATTTTTAATGCAGCTCCCCTCATCTTTGAGAATTTTTTGGCCATACGCTCAATGTTCTGAGGAGACAAGAACAATGATTTCATATTAATTGCCGTTGGCTTACCAGATGCGTATTGCTTGATCCCTTGAGTAGCAGCACCAAGACCCATGCCAGCTGCCAAACTACCATAATGAAAAATTCTAGCTAATCTGGAACTGGGGACTTCACTGCTTGTCATCTGAGCAGTATTAGGTTTCTTTGAGCCAATTATATGCTTCGACACTCTTCTCAGTGGACCCGAATTAGAACCTGAACCCGCGCCAGTACCAAAATCTTGGGATGGAGAAAACGATTTAGTAGAATACTCTCTCTTTTGAATTTTACCAGCTGCTCTATGATTTTTACGCTTCGTCGTTTTGAAATCTCTTGCACTAATTGACTTAGCATGTAAATTCTCCCACATCCCTGCGTGCGTATCGCATTGTCTCACATTTTGACCAACCAAAGAGTAGTTATAAGCTACGCTTAATTCTCTTTGCATTTCGCTAGCCATTTTTGTTAGCACCTGACGGCCACCATTGGCTATCGCCATAGCTTCATAAATACCTTTTAGTATCATCTTCTTACAAACAATGGTTCTTTATATTCAGAGCAAAATCTAATTTGCTCTGTAACGCTTACTCTTGCACAAGGCTAAACGTGTCTCAATATTTCAAATCAGCTTTGCAATTCCGTGAAAGGTATTGCTATTACTTCGTTCAACTTTAATGAAAACTAAGTATTGCAAACGTAAAGAAATAGCAAACAGTTAATCTAAATTATTCTTTTTGCATTAGGCTGTTCGGCAGTTCTTAAGAAAATGAGCTCCATGGACCCATTCTCGGCAAGACAAAAATTTGCTGCACAGGTGGCTCTATCCCATTTACCGAGGGTGGCTTCAATTTAGCGACCGCGCTCTAGAGCCCATGCCATCTATTCGCTATCACTGCGACGCTGACTCACTAACTTACTGCTTGTTCGGACATGCGGAGTCCCAACTCAGGCGGGAGCAAATTACTTGAGGCGGCAAAACCGAGATAGGTATATGCAGGTAGGCATTGCTGGTGTGGAGGCAACTCTTTTTTAGCCCATGCGTTGGGATGTAAGGAAGATGAGCAAGAGAAGAGAGGGGAAGAATGGACGGATAAAGTGAAAAGCAATTGGTAAAAGGGAGTTGCTATATGAATAACAGCTCGTTTCTGAGATACGGTTTTGTTGAACGCGTGAGCTCATATCTTGCAGGTGATTTTGTAGTATTTGTCCTATGTCCGTATACTCAGCTGCTATTGTCTTAATGCTCATCTCTATCTTGACCGGATAAAAGATTCGTATGATTAAATGCGTGGCTGGTGGATCGACGAGTGTACGGCTGATTTTCAGCGCACAAAGATTGCTGACGGTGACCGAAGACGAGATTATGTAATCTAGTAAACATCGAGATATCAACATTGGTTGACAGTCAGTTGTTTTACATAGCTAGGGTCTACGGCCGTGCTTAAAGTACAAAATTAGGATCATAGTTGCTCATAGTGCAATCTTTTAGCGAGGACTGTAAAAGCAATTTAGTATAAGGGAAGCGACAACGAAAACTAATAGCACATACAGCACCAAAATGTCCAAAAGATACTCGATAATGGGTAAAGGGCCAGACTCTCAGACATCTGACGACAAAGTTGTAAATCCTTATGAAGATCTTAAACGGAAATCAGAATTGGAAAAACACAGGAAGGAGCTATTTCAGAAATACCACTCACCCAAGATTATTATCGACGACGATCCGATTATCCCCAAGTTTCGAACTCTTGAAAATTCGAAAAGACATGCTGACTATAACATGAAGTTGGTCGTGGTGGGCGATGGAGGTTGTGGGAAAACATGCTTATTAGTTTCATATGTTCAACACAAATTCCCTGAGATATATGTTCCAACCGTATTCGAAAATTATGTCGCCAGCGTAGCTGCTCCTAACAACAAGTTGATAGAACTTGCTCTATGGGATACGGCTGGACAAGAGGAATACGATAGGCTACGTCCATTATCTTATCCAGATGCTGATATTTTATTGATATGTTTTTCCTTGGATAACATTACCTCCCTACAGAACGTGAAAGACACTTGGTTTCCTGAAGTTTCTCATTTTTGCCCTGGGATTCCTATTATACTTGTCGGGACAAAGGCCGATTTACATAGTCTGATCGACTCTGATTTGCCTATTCAAGTTGCGACTGACATAAATGCCATTGGCTACATTCAATGCTCAGCCAAAACCATGTTTAACGTTAAAACAGTCTTTAACTTTGCATTGAATCAATTTCAGAAACAGCAGCAGATGCAGGAGCAGTTAGATAAGTCTTCGAAAAAGAGATTATCGAAGGTGTTAGGTGGTGGACACACAAGAAATCAATCTTCTACATCGAGAGGTCACAATAAAAATACATCCATAGCATCGAGCATACTATTGGATACTCCGTTGGCAGAGGACGAATACCAGTCTAACCCTTACGGCACTTTCAGTCCTAACAAGTATAATGAGGAAGAATTTGCATTTACTAGAAAGGACGCTGGAAAGAGGAAGAAGAAAAGGAGATGTATAATTTTATAGAATTTGACATTTGGTGTGCATAGTTATTTCGGAGCATTAATACACGATCGACCAGGCTGAGTACCCCCGCGCGCATCGAGATTAATTTTTTTATATTTCCTTTAAATTATAATATCGGATAGCTGCCGGAACATATCAAATCAGCATTAGAAGTTTGAACGTAGGAGCTTAACATCGCTGGTTAATGATATCGAGACTAAAACTGTATAATGGGGGAACAATTGCGAAATAGACTGTCAACTGCTCTACGTTCCAAAGACGTGGTCCAGTCATCTTCCATCGTTGATGCTGGAAATTTGGCCAGTAGTCATTACAAGTCTAAGTTATCACCATTACGATACAAGATACGAAGTGTCTTCTTACCATTGATAATCAAAGAAACTGAGATTTTAGATAAGATGCAAAGGAAGATCCGAAACCCAATCTTGGATTTCTATTTTGCATGGTCTGCCAACTTGGCATCGCACACTTTCTATGTTTTGATGCTTCCTGCCCCTGCTTGGCTTGGAGCTAGTACTCTTCTTAGAGATTTGGTCTACGTCTTGGGGTTTGGAATTTATTTAACGGGTAATTTGAAGGACTTTCTATGTTTGCCTAGGCCAAGGTCACCGCCCTTACATAGGATCACAATGTCTTCTTACACTACACAAGAATATGGTGTTCCTTCGAGTCATAGTGCTAATGCAGTTGCGGTTACTTTGGTCATTCTTTGGAAACTTTTAGAGTATAGGAACGAATTCAACACAAATTTTGTAATAGGGGGATTCATTTTCTTAATTCTTTATTGTTTCTCATTAGTCTTTGGCAGAATTTACTGCGGTATGCATGGATTCTTAGATGTTCTTACTGGCGCAGCAATAGGTATACTTTGTTTTTCTTTTAGATTCTTCTTGGGTGAGGCATGGGACAACTGGCTCCTCTCTTCTCATAACGATACTTTTTTTGGAATTATATCCACTCCTATTATGATAGTAGGAGGCTATGTCTTGTTAATTCACATTCATTTTGAGCCAGCTGATGATTGCCCCTGCTTCGACGATTCGGTAGCCTTTGTTGGTGTTTTAATTGGATTGGATTTGTCTCACTGGTTTTGCATTTTGACACAGCATTTGGTAGATAAAAACCCCTACGGAGACCCGCTTTTGATATATTTTGATACCAGAGATTCGAAATATCTAAATGGCTTTTTAAGAATACTTTTAGGCGTTTTACTTGTTGCAATTTGGAAAACGATTTCGAAACCTATAATATTCACCATTTTACCGCCAGTATACAAATATATTGGTATATATCTACCTCGAAGAAATTATTCTTCTACGGCATTTTCGTCTGAACCTACCAGAAAGATTAGGTCTCAATCGCTTTCAAACATTTCCGAAGGATCTTTAGCAAATTTAAATAAATTTATAAAGGGCGTGACCGATCATGAGAAGAAGGATAGACAAGGTCCAGAGACAGAAATAGACTATTATGCCATGCTTGAAAGTGAAAAGATGACCAATTTGAAAGTACCACAAGTGTTTAGACCTAGATATGATGTTGAAATAGTGGGAAGGTTAATCGTTTATGCTGGAATTTCAGTAACTGCAATATGGGGATTCACAATAGGCACCGAGATCCTTCATTTATAATAGAATTATGTCCATAGTTTTATGCGCGAGGAAATAAGTTATTACTTGTAGCGTGCTTGTTTCAAAATTTTCAAAATTTTGTTGCAAATAATGCTTCATTTGTTATCTATCGCAGTATTCCACTTTCGCTCATAAGATCAAAGAAATCTAATAACTACAAAAGATATATTTAGCATTTAAAAACAATAAATTACGTGTTTTCATATTATGAGTGACGTTTACGGTACTTCGTCTCGAAAAGAACAACAGACAAACTCCTATGAGAGTAAAGCCATGAAAGAGATTTGCTCGCGGCTATTTCAATTAAATAGCCAATTTATTGCAGTCCAAAATCATAATAATCAGAAGTTAGAAGAAATAAGCCTGAAATTAGAATACTTGAGTGAAAGCGTTGAAAATATCAAGAACACCTTAGGTACCATGAGTTGTCGATTGAAGCTTGATAATGATAATGTACAACAAAATAAACCTGGGTCTGGCCTGTCTATGATTTTCGATGTCATTAACAGGCACTTGCTGAGTATGAGCAAAGATATGGAAGCATTAACTAATACAAATGTGCCTACCATGAGGATCCACGAGGGATATATTAATCCTTCTTATAATCAGAGCATCAAACTTTCTGATAAAAGCGTGGCATTCAAACCAGTTGAGTCGACGAACACCAAATTTGCTGTGCCTCTTCATATTCCCGATAGTCTTACATACAACCACAATGATGAAGGTGCCATTGATGATACCTTCCGTGGAGACACGGGTAGTTTGAGCATATCAAGTCTTCCACAAAGTAAGCGTTTTAAACCGAGCTCAAAAACAGATGATAAAGCTCTAAGTGATGCTATTGATGTGTTCCCCAATGGTGATTTAAACAGGACAGTAGAAGAAAGTACTCCTCAGTATAAATTGGAAAAGAGTCTCAAAACCATCGACGAAATTTGGAAAGAATATGAATACGGTCTCAATGGAAAACCACCTTTAAAGGATTTAGAGAATAAGTTTGGAACAAAATGGAGAAATGAAACTGAGCTGAGGACTTTTCTTAGACGAAAGAAGATATACGAGGCAATAGAAATTGGAAAAGCCCTGGGAAATTCTGATGATGATGTGATCAGGGAATTGGAGGCTCATAGAAGCTATGATCATAATGGATACACTAGAAAAAAGCCTCTTCTGTGGCTTTGCCAAAACGTCCCTTCTAAGTTTTCTAATTAAATAATATATATTCAGATCAGTAGTAATGATAAGTAGTGCATTTTATCAAGAGCGATGCTCATCAAAATGTTTTATCTGTCATATTTTTTTTTTTTCAAATTAAGTTTATCAGAGACGTCAGAGACAGGACTACGTGATTATGGTACCTGTGACAGCCGAAAGAAAGAGGTCTGTACCTGATATTTCATCCAGTGAACCAAAAAGGCTTCACGCGCAAGGATCGTCTAAAAAGCTTGGGAAAAGAAAATATAAAGCGAAATCCGTTGAACCAACTTCTCCGTCTGGAGTTTTGCAATATGAAATCAAGGAGATGCTCAAGAGTCATGAAATTTCAGAGTCTGAAATATTCAATGATATGAGATCTGTTTTAAATGATGGAAGTATGCAAGAAAAGTATCATAGAATAGTGAAAAATGTTACGGTGCTTCGCCTTTCATCCAATGGAGATGGTTTAGCTATAATACCTCATCCCATAGATGACAGTGGTAAACAGATTTGTATAATACCATTTGGGCTCCCAGGAGATGTTGTAGACATCAAAGTTTTCAAGACCCATCCATTATATGTTGAAAGTGACCTTTTGGGTATCACCAAAGAATCCGATTTAAGAGATGATAAGTTGATCAATTGCAAATATTTTGGGAAATGTTCAGGATGTCAATTTCAAAATGTTGATTATGACAGGCAATTGATCCTCAAAAGGTCAACCATTATGCATGCGTATGAGATCTTCGCTCCAAGGCTTTCGTCCAAAGAAGGCTCTTTGCCTGAAATAAGCAACACGGAACCCTCTCCACTAGAATATGGTTACAGAACAAAACTCACACCACATTTCAATTTACCTTACAAAAAGCCTGAAGAATATCCAAGACCACCCTTAGGTTTTGGTGCTAAAGGTCGACCAAAATGGAGAAAAGAAGCTCACGGAGGTGACTTTTCCATTTTAGACATCGAGGATTGCCCTATTGGAACTGATATTATAAACAAAGGTATGAAACAAGAAAGAGATATTTTTGAAAAAGATTATATGAAATACAAGAAAGGTGCCACTATACTTTTGAGAGAAGATTCAAAAGTCGTTGACAAAAAGCCTGATAATAACTCTGAAAATGGATCGGTTGTGACATACCAAAACCTCGATGATTCTAGGATTTTGATGAAGACTTGTGTTACTAAGTCCCGACAGATTGTTACAGAATATGTTAATGGTTACACTTTTACGTTTTCTGCTGGTGAGTTTTTTCAGAACAACAACTCAATACTTCCTGTCGTTATCAGCTACGTGAAATCAAAATTAGATATTGACAATTCACCTGATATGATAAAGAATGAGCCGCTATATTTAGTCGACGCTTATTGTGGCTCAGGTCTTTTTTCTATTACATGCTCCGAAAAAGTCTCTAGCGTCATCGGTGTCGAGGTAAGTGCAGATTCTGTCCAATTTGCACAGAGGAACGCGAGAGAGAATAACATACACAATGCTAAGTTCATAGTGGGAAAAGCTGAGAAAATATTTGCAAATATAGATTCACCTCCACTGAGAACTTCTGTAATTTTGGATCCTCCAAGAAAGGGTTGTGATGAGGTTTTTCTTCGACAGCTTGCAGAATACAACCCTGCTCGCATTGTCTATGTGAGTTGCAATGTTCATTCACAAGCGCGAGACATCGATTGGTTTATAAACTGCACCGAGAATGGCTCTAAGTATATTGTAGAAAGTATCAAGGGATTTGACTTCTTTCCTCAAACCCATCACGTCGAAAGTGTTGCAGTCCTTGCATTAAAATAATAGAAGTTATATATTTCAAAAGCATACGCATAAAAGAATACGTATCAATACCTGTAGAATTAAAATCATCAGGAAGCTATATCTTTCGCAATCTGAGAATACAGATAAGAAAATAATCTCTAAAATAAATGTCGCAATCACGTTCTATAGGGCTAAGGCCCATTCACATTTTGGTAGTGCGTTACCATTTTTATTTAAATGTTACACAAATATAACTGTTTGTTCAGAGTAGCGCTCGGTAGAGTGAAAAATTTGATAATCACATCAAAATAAATTATATCTTAATCACCATATAACTTAAAACCGTCAAGGCAAAATGGAAAACGACAAAGGTCAATTAGTAAGTTGAATTAACATTTTTCGTTGGTACTTGTGGAATGAAGGGTAAATTATTCATTGAAAGTTTTTTTTTTTTAGATTCAATGACTAGGGAGTTCAAATCAATGACTATGACGGAAGTTACAAAAATTACGTGAGATATGCAACACTAAGGCTATGCACCATTTCGTATCACTCTATTCAGTGATATGGTTATTGGGATTTTTGTTTTAGAATCAAGTGGAGAGTTTTTACATGTTATCAAGGACAATCAGAACCGAGTATTCAAAATGCTTTATTCATAACTTCCACACCATTTACCATGAAACTTTTAAGTGAATCTTGTTTCAAATATACTAACTACATATAGGTTGAATTATACGTTCCAAGAAAGTGTTCTGCTACCAACAGAATCATCAAGGCTAAGGATCATGCCTCTGTTCAGCTCAACATCGCTAACGTCGATGAAGAAGGTAGAGCTGTCCCAGGTTCCAATACCACCTACGCTTTGTCTGGTTATGTCAGAGCAAGGGGCGAAGCTGACGATTCATTGAACAGATTAGCACAGCAAGATGGTTTATTAAAAAACGTTTGGAGTTACTCCCGTTAAAGCAACAACTATATATTACTATCTATGTGTATAATTTAATGTCATAAAAGGTATAAGTTAGCTGGGTAATGAGCACTTCAATTCTTCTTTACGAGTAGAAGAAGATCACGATTAATCACTTCAAAATATCTGTTGTCAGCTTTCTGTCAGATTTTCTGGGACGACCAGCGAACTCCTTCGAGTTCATTGACAGAAATGTTTCAATAGAAACAATGATCTGAACCGGAAGTATCCTTCTTTACGAGTAGATGTACTATGGGATCTTTTTATAAAATTACAGCTTAGCTGTGGAAACGTCAGTGGTATTATTCACGTGAGA